AATCGGTTAATCGATATCATTTAATGGCACGTCGGCGAATCTTCTTTTCAATTAGCAGATAGTGGCAGCAACGATGAATGCAAATCGCGTGATGAAACAGAATTACCGCACGAGTAGTTTGATTTCTTTCAATCTGCTGCAAGTATGGTACGTTGCTTTCCCGAGTAAATCGAACAAAACTTACAAACATCAATCGAACACACCACCTTTGCCATCTCCATGATTAAGTGCATAAGGCAAGCGGTGCAGCCATAGAAAAAAGATTTCCAAACCAATCGTAACCTACATAATCTCCCATTAGCGCTGTCAGTCGCACATCGAAGGATTTCGCTTACTGAAAAGGAGCAAGTCGTCGAGCTGGACAATGGCAGCCACCGCAAAGTCGAGCAAGCGCGCCCACACTTTTTACACGTGTGAGGGCTTTTTTCGAGGCACCTGCTTTTCAGCTGAACTTTCTGTCTCTCTCTCTCTCTCTCTTCTCTCTCTCTCTCTCTCTCTCTCTCTCTCTCTCTCTCTGTCTTTCGAGTGCGCGAGCGAGGAAGCCGGAAAAAAGTAAGAGCGCGTCGAAAAAAAAGGTTTGAAATTCGAAATACAATCATCGTCCATGCGCGACCTCAAAAAAAAAAAAGAAAAAAAATAAGAATCGAAAGAGACAATAGGATGCTTTGCGTGAAATGTAAAACGGGTCGCTACAGCGGCGCCTGCGAGTGCAACGAACCTCTATGCGCTTTATAATACGTTCGATCGATCGGGGAGAAATCGTTTTTATCGCGCGCATCCGTGGACCGTGAATGTTGATTGCTGCGGTGCAGGAAGAGTTTCAATGAATGCATTGGTTTTTTTTCCTTTAAGTTCTTTTTTATATATTTTATTGAGAAATTACTGTTTTTTTGTATCTTTCTCAGCGGTTTGGGGTTTAAGTTAGGAAATTCACACCAGTAAAAGAGATTTCCCGTTTTCTGGTTTTGCTATATATAGATATTTTTTTTCATGACTTGAATTCCCATAAATTGAATCAAACTTACGTGAATGAAAATTCAACGAATTTTTAAATATTATGTAATTTCCGTAAGAATAGAACAAAAATAAAAAGATTAAGAAAATAATATGATCGCTAAATTACGTACTATAGCAATAGTTTGTTACCAATTTGCAATATATTTTTATATCAAAAATATTGGTCTTCAAATAAGAAATACTTTAAAAATCATTTCATAGTAATCCTACTTCCTCCCATCCTCCTCCTCCTATTATATATTATATATTTATATAAAGGAGATAAACTGGAAAGTGTCGCTTTTTATTCGTGATCTGATTGGCTCAGAGGTAGTCACGTGGGTTCCATCATATGATAGCATGTATGAGTATATGTAGTATATGTACACCTGTATGTACACAAGCCATTATCAGCACAGTAGCTGACATATTCAACAAATTCATGCTAATAAATAACTCAAGTTGTTTTACATTGATTTTATATTAATTAATTGAGTAAATAAAAAATAAGTAAGAAATTTCGTATGAAAAGTAAATAGTATGTACATTCATTCAACGGCCTAATCTTGAAATAACATTATAAAACAATTTTAATTTATTGAATATCTGTTACAACGTTTAGCTTCGAATAAATATTATTCAAGATGAAGAGAAACAAAAATCAATAGATTGTTTTATAAAAAAAATACTGTAAAGTAACTTTGGCTGATGTGGTGAAGAAATTCATTCATAAATATTGTTTGAAATTAAACTTATAAATGTAAATATAACCTTAAAATTGTTACGGATGAATAGATAAAAAATAACAATAATGTTGTGAAAGTGAAAATGTTAAAGAAGAGTTCGCTATAAATAATGCTATAAACTACCCGAAATCTGAAAGAGGAAACATCTGTTCATATGAAGATATCGTACAAAAAATTTTAAATTGTAGACAGATATATTTAAATATAAGAAATATAAGCAATCTCATTAACATAAGAAAGGAAATTAAATTGTTCGCCGCCGCTAACAGTACCAGGTATTTAGAAAAGGTCGAAGGAAGAGATGAACTTAATACATTGTCCATTATCTATGGTTAATTAGCTATACCTAAAGATCTACTACGTTATTAGGTTTGAAATTATAACTAAATTTGTAAATATCAAAGGAACTGGATTTTTATTTGCGAATTAATGTTGACGAATGTTAAGCATGTAAAATCATAGAACTATTTTATGTACACGGTATATTTTATAATAGTTTTGCTTTGATTTTAACATGAAATTTAATATTAATGCAATCGAGAGATGAACGCGCGAAACGTGCTTGACGATACTAGTTATAATTGAAATCAGAACTACTTAGTCTATTTTGCTGTCTAATGTACTCAATTTTACTCATTTGTCATCTAATTATAAAAAATAAAAAAGCAAACTAATCGACGGAGGAAAGTTAGAATGGCCAAATTTCGCTATGTACCATAAATTGGTTATTTACCGCGCGGTAAATAAATTCTCTTTATCCGCTCAACTTATTTACCCTCACTTGACAATTAATCGCGAAACCTTCTTCTCTCTCTCTCTCTCTCTCTCCCTCTCTCTTTCTCTGTCTCTCTTGACAGTCGTTACGAAATCCGTTCTCCAGGCGGAAGACGTATAGCCGACGTAAACAGCATCCGCGAGAAGTTTCCCCTAGCTGTTCTCACTATCACGAATCTCGCATGTACACGCGTCCATGCATAATCGGCCTTTACGTAACTGGATCAGGCGGCTGGCGGAGAAAGCTCTCCGCGTGAATTGTCGGCGAGAAAAATTTGTCGAAACGTGAAAGCCGCGAACGAGTTTTGATTGACACGATAAACTTTTGTCAAACGTTGACGGATTAAAGATCCGATTACTTTATTTACAAATGCGCGTGCGCATTGCTGTTGATCATAGTGAGACGCGTCCAAGTGCTTTCCTTTCACTGAGCGGATGATACGTGGAAATAAATTAGAGACTCTGAAAGTGGGCTGCCGTCGAAGAAGTTCTTCAATATAAAGTTGGTGCGCAAAAGTGATAAAGATCTTTGTGCTTTAACGGCGCTAATTCACTCTGAAAAATCGTTTCGCTGTAAGACTTCTATGCACTTTTAAAAGCTCTATCAGCCGGTTCGCGGTGTGTCTTGGCGTGGTTTTTTGTGTCGTCTACGGTTTTACGAAAGTGAGTGTCGAGTTTGAAGGATACGTTATCCTACGTTAAGAGATAAATTGAAAGCGACTCGTTCGACTTAGTGATTCGAATAATTAAAATTGTTCCGATAAATGGCAATCACTTTCAGCGAATAGCAAGCTTAATGTAATATTTCATCTCTCTTGACATTGAAAATTTTGGTGCATTTTACGAGTCAAAAATAAAAATTTATCACTAGAATAAAAGAGCCGCTCTGTTGCAAATTTATTAAGAAAAAATTAAAAGAGAAACGGAATTCAAAGTATATTCGAAGATTCAATTTTGACACTGAAAAGAAAAGCAAAAGTTTATTTGGAACTCTCGAATTATGCTAAAATTAAAGATCACACGGTTCAGACCGTGCACACACACACACAAAAATGAAACTATTCACTTTGCATTAGTTAGACTACTATAATTTGTTTGACTTTTACCTATAGCAATTCTCTTTGAATGTTTTTTCGTGTTTTTTTTTAATATTCTATTCTACGTCCAACTTGAATCCTTAGTCAATTATAATTGATGTAGCTATTTTTACAGGTCTAATTATAAAGTATCAATAAAAAATGTTTATCTTTTAATTAGATAAAGAATGATACACACGTATAGTAAGAAATGCTTAGGAAGTTACTACTACACGAAAATTTGTAGGAGGCATATTTAAAAAATTAAAAGTCCTGTGATAGATATATATGCTAAAGTCATTGATAGGATATGAAGAAAACCTGAAGCAGATAATTATTTTGACTATGATATGATATCAACTCAATTGTCGCAGGACTTCTAATTTTTTAAATCCGAGTGACAAAGAAAATTATTGTTTCTTACAATAATACTATTTTGTGATGCTATTTTTGTTTCCTCTATTCTTGACAATTTTTAACGTACACTAATTTGTTTACTATTATTCATACACGCGGTGATCATTTTCAATTCAAATTCATTCTATACTTTGTCTAACTAGTTGAACATTAAAACTTGACAATTTTCAAAAAAATAAAAGTGCCTGGTATTTTCACGATATTCCGTAACAGCAACGGTTAATCGGAAATTACCTGTGGCATTATCCGTGTTGTTTTGTTCACCGCACGGGAATTAGGAAACAAGCGAGAGAAACAGTAGTTTCGCGAGCAAAGCTTGTTCGGCCGACCGGCTCGGCGATCGGCAGCACCTGACACGAACCAGTCGTTATTAAAGTAACTATTACACTCGGACTTGTATAGAAGTAACTATTACAAAAAATATAAAAGTCCAAAGCATGGGCACCAAAGATATTATCTATGCACACTTCAAACGGACACAAGATGTTCAACTATAATGGCTCATTTTGTTTTCATTACTACTCATTACTACTCGTTATAATCAAAGAAGTTGGTGGTTTTTATTTTTGTTTAAATGCACGGATGGAGGTTAATTTTCCGTAGCTAAGTGCTGGGTTTGTAAACTTCCATCCTATGTATTTGATTGAACCTATGGTAGATGGGAAATGCTTTTTTATTTGCAATTCACATTGACGTTTTAATGAGGAATTAAAAATAGTTTTTCGAAAGCGAATGTACAGGTTGACTTCGTCAATCGCTTTTTCATCAATCGCTCGCAGCTAAGAGCATGAATTTGTCCGCTGTTTTCGGCGGTAACCGAAACATCATTTGAAAATAACGTGGCGCGTTACAGTACTGGCTCGTATACCTTGGCGCGTTTCATTCAGTCGTCTGCTCTCGAGCAAGATCGGAAAATCCGCACCGACGCGAACGCGACTGCGTCACACGAAGCGTTGCATCCTTGCGCAAGTTCGAAAGAAGTGGTACTCACCGATGAGAGCCGAGCAATGAAGGAGAAGAAGCAGTGTAACAGGAATGTTGAGCAGTTTGCCGATCATCTCTCCTGCTCAGTCGTCGAAGTCACTCATCGCACTGGCCATGGTCGCTCGCCATTACTCAACCGGATGGATTATCCGCGACTTTCTCGCGTTCGCGTTCTCGATGCCAAGAGGATGCACTTCAGCAGAGCGGCGCGTTCGCCTGCCAGACCGACACTGCCGAAGCGAGCGGGGCTCTCGCAGGTGAGAGTCAGCCGACAGACTGTGTGGCCTACTATAACAGAACCTCGCTCCCACCATGCCGCGTTTACAGTGTCACGCGGGCTGCAGTGTGCCTTCCGTTGTTTATATTTTTTTTTTTTTTGCTTACGGGAGTTCTTTCGGGTTTTTGGGCGATGAGAGGCACGACGACGCTTTCGTCGAAACTCGGTGAATAATCGCAGGTCGCTCTGCGGACGAAGCTCCAACGAGCGATGTGATCGTACAGGCTCGTTAATTGAAGACCGTTAATTGCCGCTTGATTTCGCGCGCGCGCCTCGGCGATCGCGAGTCGCTCCGACAAGAGCGCGCGTGCGAACGGCCGTCGCGCGAGCGAGCGCTGACCGGAATTACGCGACGCGGAGCCCCCGCGGCGGACAATGGGTAAGCCGATTAACCACTATAATAATAGAGGCAGGCTAGACTATTTTGATTCGCTGGCGAGGATGATGGAGCTAGACTTTGGTCGATGCCTCCTCCTCGGAAGTTTTATGCGCAATTCGTCTGCGAGGCAAAGTGCCGCGGCAAATTGGTTCCTCGTCATTATAGTCAATTAATTGTGCCACTGTTGTTGCTTTCGGCGAAGCTCGTGAATTGTCGACGTCCGAGTGAGCGTCGAACAGAGCTTGATATTTAATTAGCGTCGCCGATATTCTTCTGAAAACAGTTCGAAGCGCGCGGCCTACTTCCTTGGCGACGATTTGAACGCGCAGGTAAGAACGAAGAGGACAAAAACGGTCTCTCACGGAAAAAAAATCCATTATCATTTCATCTCTAACGAGTAATATGCCTGTCTCGGTCGTCATCTTCACGGTCACGCTCGTACATCTCGTAACTCGCGAGGTCCCGTAAAAAAAAGTACAGGAGAGCAGGAGGAGGAGGAAGGTGCGAAGCGTTGCACCCACAGCCGTTACCGCCTCGTTATTGTAATTGGACTTTTGTGGGCCTGGCGCGCTCGACAACGCTCGAGCGTACATTGTTTTCAGTTACTCGACCCAAATGTCCGAGAACTCATCGTCGCTGGGAGAAGAAAAAAAGGAAAAAACGAAGAGCCGATCGTTAATTAAGCCACGTCGCTTAAGACATTCTCGCAATTAATCGCTTAATGAGGGCTGCTTTGCTTCTGCGGCTTGCGGCTATGATTCATACTTTCATTACGAGCGCATGGGTTCGCTAGCTTTTTTTCTTTTTTTTTTTTTTTTTGACGTTTTCCAAGGAACTCTCGAAAGGTAAGAACGTCGACTGACGCTCAAGCTATTTGGAATATGAAACACAGTTAACAACTAGAAATGTGCCCTCCCATCTCTTCGTTTTGAAATTTGCATTATTTATTCGCAGAGAATTCATTTTAGCTTGATATACCGATGTGAAAAAATACTCGGAAGCCTGCAGTTAAAATCATGCTCATTCCTAAATACTCAATATTTGTCGGGAGAATCATTGCGCAAATGGTTTTTCGGATAAATAAATATATTTTTCAAATAGCCTTTTTCAAATAGAAAGTCGAATTAGGCAATGACGGCTAAATCATCTCATGAGCTAGCGAGGCGCACATTTATTAAGAATTGAATGAAACGAATGAAAAAATTTCAGTGACGCAAGAAACTGTTCTCATTGAAAAAACCGACGAAACTACGCAGCGTCGTGGAGAAAAGTAAGCGAGTTACTTTTGAAACATTGACAGGCAAGAGCTGCCTCTTTCGATTGACATTGCACTCGTCCCATAAGTGATTCACTGTCAAGAGAACGACCGTGTCGCATAGTCAACTAGGCTAACGCACGTGTTTTATAAGAGATACGCTGTAGGTTGCTGTGCATTAACGGTTTTGTTTGTTTGTTTTATTTTTTTGCTTCACGTAAGAGCGATGTAGGTATTTAAACAGAGACGCGCATTGAATTCGCTTTAGGATTAGTAGGCCTGCGAAGTTTACCCAGTTACACGCTCTACTGTTAGCATCTATGCACTTGTATATTCAATTTGGATTTGATGATTGATACCACTATTTCAATCTAAAATTCTCGGAAGTTAAATTTAACGTTAATAATTGCTGTAAAGCGCTTATTGATATTCTTAACGGCTAGGGCTCTGCTATAGTAATTTTATTTGCCTTGGAAAGAATCATTTTACATCTTATCCGTGTTCCATTGAATGGCGATACTTTGAAATTTTTTTATTTTTTGAATCCTTTTGTTTATATTATATGTCTAAATTTGTAGTGAAATTGTGGTTACTGTTATTTCGGGAGCAGCGATAAAATGAAAAAATTAATATTTGAAAGGTATGGTAAAACTATTAAGAGGCTCGGATGACAACTACTGGCACTCCCAAGCGGTAATGAGTGAATTGCGACCGACGGTCCAGATGATAGAAAAGAGAGAGAAAAAATGACAGCCGACAACCTCTGATGATTAGCTGGTAGTTGTTACATTGTCCAGACCTCTGTGCTTGTTAAAGATAACCAAACTGGAAACTGCCAGAACGCTGATCCTGGACTATACGCACTGAAGTAGTCGAGCTGAAGAATAAATTGTGATGACAAACTGTGAGTACGACGGTAAAAAAAGTCAAGATTCCATAGAGTGCGGACGCTTAGTTCTTAGCTATTTCTTGGTTGCGCGTGTGGTAGACGAATTTTTAGATATTTTTACAAAACGTTTGTCACGATTAACGTTTAGATGAAATACAATCAGTATAATTAAAAAATTGGATGTATTTATTATTAATCGTTTTGAAAAGTTGCAGACACGAGGATTGCCGTAATTTATTAAAGTGTTGAAAAATCGATTTTAATTAACGATTGACTGACATTTGTGAAACAAGTATCAAAAAAATGAAAAACTTCTTTTTTTATTTTCGATCAAAGGACGTAAAAATTTTTTGAACATTGAGCTCAGATACGTCTACTAGATAAATGAATTCATTCCGAAATTTTAATGAAACGTTAACAGTGATAAGTTACGGAAGATACACATTGAATACAAGCCGACATCTCTTTCTCATTGCACGTGATTGGAATGCAAAAAAGAACACCGTTCACAATAGCAATCAAGTTATCCTCTCGAGCTCGTAATATTTATTAGTGTAGTTACATTCCTTAATGGCCATGATTAATTTTCATTCATGACTATTAGTGACGCGACGCATACGTATATCAAGCTCGATTCGTGGTAGCCATTTTCATGAAAAGAATGACATTTGGAAGAACTGTCACTAAACACTGCCAGCTGTCATCGACACGTGAAAAGCTGGATAGACACGGCGATTTCTCAAGCCGTAAATCACAAGCGACGGTGAAAAAGAATCAGAATTACAACAGAGCAAGAAATAGCCGGCGCTACGCTCGCAGAAAGTCGGCGAATGTAATCGTCGCAATGGCATCACAGCGCGAAGTTTTCACCGAGATCGAGAGGAAGTGCCTCGCGACCGTGCTCTGTGTCATAGCGAGGCGCTAATTGATCGTTTCCCCCGGAGTCGCGCGCGCGCTCGCGGCTAATTTGGCGCAACGAGAGACGACGAAGACGCCAGCTTCCGTTTCCTGGATCAACGACAGCGAAAAGCCGAAGCGTATGGCCACGCGCTTGCGCATTGTCACTTTCGCCCGTGCGAAAGCCCATCCGGTGATATCGCAATTACTCGCGCGCGCGTCGGACGCGAAAAATCGGAGAAAGTGCCAGCAGCGCACGCAGGCGGCGTCCCTTCTTCATTACGCTCCTTTTCTCCTCTCCTCGTATTTGAGAATTTTTGGGAGAAAGCCCGACCAGCCGGCCAATTCACTCTTCTTCTTTCTCTCGGCTGGCCTTCTCAAGGCTGATCGATTTCTGGGCCATCGGATTTGGTCACGACGGATCTGTCAAAGAGGGTACGCGGTGCGCGATGATGTCTCGTGGTAAGCCATCCGAGGGCAATTTTTTCCGCGCTGCGCTCAATTTCAGTTTCAATCGCGCGATTATTGCGAATTCCTCTCGAAACATGCAATTGCCCGCATAATGCAACACCTCAAAAATCTTGAGTTACGTAAATTTTTGCAAATGCATCAATGTTTCGTCATTTATTTTACATATAATTTTCACGCAATGTTCGTTCTCTAATATTACGATACACGCGCAGTGATCGAAGAAAAAGTATATATGAAACATTGATTAGATAAAATCCAAATTCCTTTTTCGATTCATTAACAACGAAGCACCAAACGCGCATTGTTATTTACTTAAAGTTATTTAAAGATCACAATTGAGGCGATACACTTGAATACAAGGTACACTATCAAGTAACATTGATATTGCGATAAATGCGGCTCAGTCTCGAACGTAAACCCGTCGATGCCAGAGCGTTTTTTTCTTTTTCTTTCAACGATCACGAAATGCTCAGAAAGGGCAACGAATAATAAATTTAATAATTTAACCACTACCGTAACCAAATTTTTGCAGTACTCGAGAAAATGAAGTGTTCGTTGGATTCGAATGTCGTGAAAGAGAAAAAATTTCGTATTGCGGGAGCTGTAATTTTAAGCGTCTTTGTGATAACTGTCATTGTACTTTGTTCTACTTTATTGAGTGAGCGATTAAAATTTTCTAGTTGTATAAATTGTTTTGGAAACACGAACATGTTTTTATTTCTGTTTTCAAGGAGGAAACAAGGATGACTCGAACTCAGATGACAATTCTACAAATGTACCATCTCCATTTTCAAAAGTGCTGATTGTGCAGATAGATAATTCCGACCTTTGGGCTTTGGATCTCAATACAAATGATTCGAAATATCTAATCAGAAATTGGAAGAATCGAATACATTCGTTCGACATTTACAAGAACAAAACGATATACATTGGAAGTTCCGAGTCCGGGGAGCCTATCAAATCTTCTTCGGAGCAATATCCTGATGTATTACAACCGATGAACTGGGCAGCTGATAAAATTGAAGTGGACTATGTCAATGGAAAAGCATATACCCTCGATATGTCGACTTCGAATATCAATATCTTTGACTTGCGAGAAAATTATTACAATATCGTCATGTCATACCATCGTGGATTAAAAGATATCGCACTGGACTCTGCGAGGAGACTTATGTTTGTTCTAACGACATCATCGGTAATAGCACAAGCATTCGTCATCATTGATAAAAAAAGTGACGAATATAATGTTAATCTTCTTACAGATTGAGAGAGCGAGTATTGATGGATCGTCACAGCAAACGGTTATCGCCACCACAGCTCTCTCCGCGTTTACAATAGATTACGAAAACCAAGTTTATTACGCCGACTTGGAAGATATCAGTGCTGTGAGTTACGCAGGCCAACAACCTCGAAATGTAACGAAGATTTTTCATGAAGTGATCAGTATGGCCGCGCTCGAGAATGATTTATTTTGGCTGTACAAATCTTACGACTCCGGAAATTCGATTTTGTACTCGTGCAAAATTGCCAATGGCAGTTGTTCGGGTGTTTCCACATTGGAATTATCCGGCGCATTGTTACAAATCAAAGCATACAAATTTGACGATAGGCAAATTTCGAATCTATGCGATAATCGTGGCTGCCAACACATGTGCATCATGAACTCGACTGATTCGAGTCGTTGCGTCTGCTCTATTGGCTGGCAATTGAATGCCGATTTAAATAGTTGCAAGCAAGCCGATGATTTTCTGCTCTACATGGAAGGAGATTACATGAAATCTCAAATTTTAGACGATTTGCATGAGTCTTTCATTGATGCCATCCTGCCTATTAAAATGAATGTTTCATTGTCGAGAGAACATAATTTCGATGTTGATGTGGAAAACCGTATGTTATATTTCAGTAACGAACATAGTATGTATCAAATGGACCTGAGACCTCATGGAAGGCAGATTAAATTAACAAGTAATGACACTCCCAGCACAATTATTATTGCTATCGACTGGATATCGACTAACTTATATTACACATATACTGAAGCATATCAATATGAAAACACTGAGTGGTTTAAGACACATGTCAGAGTACATAATATGCGATCTGTAAAATTATTTGAAAATGATCTTATTGTCCATTCGCTGTCTCTGCATAATATTACATCGATGGTCATTCATGCAACTAGGGGAATTTTATTTTATACAGTTATTAGATCGGAAGAGATCGTTTTTTATCCCGACCTCGCTAAGATGTATCTGGACGGTAGCTCGCATATTATTTATGATGAAAATTTGTCAATCGCTAAAGATCGAAATATTCTCGGTATCGACTGTGAAAATGATAGACTATATTGGTTTAACAAAGTTAAAGACACGATACATTTCATTGATTTAGACGGCGTTATTACCGTCAAAAACATCAGTATAAAGCTTATCGCGGATCCTGTAACGATGAGTATCTACAAAAACTGGCTATACATTTGTACTTCAAAGAGCGTGTGGCGTATCGACAAACTAAGTGGCGAACACCCTATAAAAATCTTACCGCAGTTTCAGCAGAATACGCAAATGATATTCGGTGCCAAAGTTTTCAGTCAAGCTATACAGTGCAAAGACAAAACTCACCCATGCACGATAAATAACGGGGCATGCCAGCGTTATTGTTTTGGTGTGCCTTCGGCAACGGGAACTTTAGACAAAGTTTGTGCATGTAATCAAGACGAAAAGCTCAATTCTGATGGTCTAACGTGCTTCAAAAAAGATTGAATGTATACATTGCTCAATTATCCGCATGCATGACATTTGAATATCCGAATACAAAAAATAAATGAAAACGATCGACAGATTGCAAATTAAAGGTATTTCTCTACGGATCTCTAATGATGTATAAATTTCGTCACGTTGTCTTATCTATAATGGGATTTAGATATTCTCAGCGCGCGAAGCGAACTTTTACGGAAACCGTTGCGACGTAAATGGTCCGAACAGCCTTTCCCTTGCCATCTAGAGACATACTGAGAGTATTTTTAGAATGAAGCATCGCGATTCAAGTTCGATTTTTTTTTCATCGGCGCACAATAAGCCGCGCGACATCGAGAGGCCTTACAGCCCGCGTGTGCAAAGCCATATCCGGTTGGTACGTATTGGGCCTTGTTTTTCGACGTATAGCCCGAGGAAAGAGGCCACGCGAGCGGCTACTTTTTGGATACTTTCATCTTTCTCGAGGCCGTTAACGGGCAAGTTCAAGGACGTTATTTTGAGTGTATTCCACAGTAAAATCGCGCGATAAGATTGATTTTTGTGTCGATTGGCACGGCTACCCTAATACTATTACACTATGTTACTACTTATTTTCCCATTTTGAAAGTTCGACTCCTAATCATAATTTTTAATTTTATTGAACTGAGATTTTTACAGATAGCAAAATGCAATTGATTATATTAACAATCATAAATTAAAATTTATCATTGAAGCAGCAGCTGTAAATTAACATTGAGAATTTTGATAGATGTCTAATATCTACAATATCTTGATCTTAAAACTATCGCTTTGTACAATCGTTAGCATCATTTAACTGTTGCATTTAAGTATCTGCCTCAAAAGCATCATCAGCCAGTATCTGCCGCTCCTGCGAAGTGGCAAAATGACTACCTCGCAGCGTTATTCCGCGATGTACCACGTTTGTGTAACGATGACGTAAAATTTTTTCAGGCAGGAAGATCCTTTCAAATGGAAATCCAGTGTATGCAGTTGGCACCCTTATTGAATGCTATTTTTTCACGATAATATCAACTGTCGATTATTATGCGTGAAACCGCTTCTAAGCGAAACAAGGTTCATTGGTCAGCATCCACCGTTACTCTGTCATCTTCAGTGTATTAATAGTCACCTACTTGAAGGCGCATCGCACAATACGTTTTCCTGCTTCACGTGCTTTGGCACTCTCACATTGGCATTCTCGACAAAATAAGAGATCCTGGTTCGATAAAATAAAATATCCTTCAGTCGAATTTTCCTAGTCATTAAATATACGGTACAATTTATATATACAATTGATAATATAAATCTATGGCTACGGGAAAAATTAGTTAATTTATCTTGTTTTCAATTTAAACATTTTTTTTAATTGTCGCCTTCAACTTTTAATCTTTCATCATTTTTATTTTATACTGAGTAGGCATATGTACCTTTAATTCAATAGTAAATAAAAGTAGGTAAAGTATTTTATAATATCGCTCATAAGTACATACCCATACACATATTATTTTTATTAATCGAAAGAAATCTAAAACTTGTGTAGACTATTTTTGCCGACTTCAAAAGAAAGGGAGGTACTGTGCTGAACCTTAATTTTGTTATGTATGTCCCGTTTTATGATTGACTCGCTTATTGAAATATAGCTTTGCGAATAATTGTAGAAAATAAATTTGCCATTTACTTTTTGTTAATTAATTTGGTTACTTTCAAAAATCAACACAGAAAGGATTTTATTTTATTAAAAAAATATTGATTTATTATTTCTTTATGAATAGCACAATAATATCTAAACAATTTACTAATTACTTAAAAATTGATTTTACGAAATAACTTATATAAATGTTTGTTCACATTATTACAAAATTCATTTATACAAAGAAATATTTTTATACGTATTAAACAACTTGAAACTAAAAAAAACCAATGACAAAACTTGTCTTTACACAGTGTTGATTTTTTGTTAGTTTTAAAAAGCACATAATAAAAGAGTCGCAAAACAGCACCCGTGTAATCACTAAAATTAATGATTTAATTAATCGTATCTTCATGACTTGTACTTTTCAAATTTTTTTTTTTTTATTAGTAGCGTCGAACTCTCTCATCTTTTTAACAGCCTCAAAGATGTCATCGGCTAATAATTGCGGCTCTTCCAGAGCAGCAAAGTGACCACCCTTTGGCATTTTCTTCCTGTGCACCAAGTTGATAAAATGATCCCGCAAAAATAATTCCGATTGAAATATTATTTCGTGTGGAAACTGTGCGCAGGCACTTGGAACTGTAATCGGCACACTGCAAACATATGAGTATGTATTTGGAGTGTAATCTTTTTTATTATAAAAAATTTGGATATTTAATAAATTTTACGATTGTAACGGTGTAGGCTGGTCATGGCCTACACCGTGCGTCCCCTTTCTCTCTTCGATATTGGCAAGGGCTCAAGGCAGGCCTCTGGCGCACGTATATTTTTCGTGCCTGATGCCAGCCTTTTGTTTCAGCATCGGTTTCTCTCTTCCACCAGAAAGAGAGAGAGAGAGAGCAGCAGCTGTACTAGGGTGTTCACAGAAGGAATCTGACAATCACGAAATGACACGAATTCTGACATATGGAATGTACGTAATACGTTGTTTTTGAGCTAAAAAATACTCGAGATGTTTAAATTAGCGTCTTATAAACACAATAATAGCAATAGAATACATATAACAACTTTCCGCAAAATGTTAATCTTTAAATCATATATATGACACGAATAAAGCGGTTATCCATGTCATTCTGTGTAATTTGAAATCTGCGCTCACACAAAAATTATTGAGATATTTTATTATCATAATTGATCCTTAAGAATGCTACTGAGATGATTATTTAAACATTTCGAGGGTTTTTCAAGCTAAAATATCCTATTATGTATATTTGTCATGTCAGAATTCGTGTCATTTCGCGAGTGTCAGATTCTTTCTGTGAACACCCCTAGTGGACCGGCACGGCTGAACTAGTGGATGAGTTTTCGTTTATTTATTGTATATCGAGTCGGTGATGAGATGGCAAGGCGCTCACATGCCGGCCATCTCATTTAGTTGATAAGAAATTATTGCGTATTAGAGTGTTTTAATCGTCATCGCTCAAGGTAGCGATTTTAAAATAAATATATTTCGTTGGTAAAACGTGAGAGTAATTATTGCGATCGCCTTTCCTCTTCCGCCTTCGTGGGAGCGATTTACCGCCTCCCTTACCTCCTCCTTGATTAATTAGGTGATAGCAGGAAAGAATTGCCGACCAAGGACGGCCGACGCTATTACACGATAAATGAACTACCGTCAACAACGTAGTTTGAATGTAAGTTTTTAACGAGTAATCTTATTACCTTTTCAAAACATTTAAGCGATGCGGTAATTATCTCTGAATTATCAAAATTCTTGACAGTACTGAGTAAGATCAGCCTATTTATCTTTTTACGTAACATGCATTTGATTATGCAATATAATTTTTAATACATAAAACATAAAGCTCAAAATTGGAGCGCATCGTCTTACCTGGTCATTATATAATTCAAAAATCGCTTATTGAAAGTCTCGGCGTAAATGCGGAATGCACTGGTGGATTTATTGGGTACCCAATAGTACATCAAATTGTCGATCAATTCTTCCATCGTGAATTTTTCTAGCAGGCCACCATCATCTCGTAGCTTATATGCTAAATTTGTTGCTGTAGAAAATTTGTCCAAAATGTAGGCTGCTAATCCAGCTGGCGAGTCGCTCATTCCAACACCTGCGTTATATAATGAGTGAATATATATTTTCATAATTACATTTTACTTTATCTTTCAGTTTAATTCGAATGTTACAATTAAATAAATGCATTAATTTATATTTATAATCTCTGCAATTATAATTTTCAATATTGGCGACTACTTTTCTATGGACCCATAAAAAGTTCTTTTCTGTTAAATATTTTATCGGTTTTACATTGTCATTACGGAGTGATTGTGTACTTGAAAATTCATGCATTATTCTTACAGAGAAAAGCTACAAACAAGAAGTGTTACATAATGAATCTTGGATTCACCTGTAACTTTAAGAATCTTTTCATAGATAAAAATATGTAAGAAACCACGTCCATTCGTCCTATCAATCGATATTTGAAGAGCTACGGGCTTTTTTCATCCAATCTATCAAAATATATGACTCTTTTAAAATGAAAATAGTTTCTAATAAATCAAAATTTACACTGTTATAAAATTTATCATTGTGAACTTTAAAATACTTTTTTTAAGGAAGGCACTTGTTTGATTTTTTCTAACGTTGAAGCAGTTCCATTCTTTTTCTAATAAATCCGTTTTTTCTGTTAATAGAAATTCATCTGAGTTTTTATTAACTATTAAATATTATGAACACTCATGAATGTTTATATTACAAATTATCGATATTTTGAGAAAGTCAACATTTTCATAGATTCCATGAAAATAACTGATAACTGTATATAGTAGCCTTGTGGGTTAGGGTGAATGGACGCGTATTCTTATATTGTTATAGATGGAGAACTCTCTTCTCAGTTCCCTATAGGTATTTTCATAATTTTACGAAAAACACTTCATTAAAATTTGACTCTCTAGCACACTGAGTTTTATCACAATTCTTATCGTGAAGCAGGCAAATAAGAAAAAGGGGGTAAAGAAGGCAAAAAATATACCAAGTGTGTCAGGTTTGGTGGCCTGCTCGTGTAGGTAACCGGTCTCTTCGAGGCCTCTGTAGAAATGTTTGAGTAGGGGGAACATCAGCGGTACTTCGTCCTCAGGTATGAATAACGGCCAAAGGCTATAAAAGCCCATCTTTATCCAGGTCCAGACGCGAAAAACTACGCACATATTCGAGTGCATCCCCAGCACACTAAACAAAAGTTATTGCATTGTTGTTTTAAGAAATTATTTTCTCCGATAGATAAACGGTTCTTTTGTATTTGTTCATTTTCGCAAAGATTATTTTTGTTAACGAAATTTCATTTTTTATTTTAACAGACCAGAAATACATTCTCGTGAATGTATTTCTGTCGAAGTAATTTCGGTTCGAAAATATAATATAATTGCTGTTATCTCTTGTAATTAAAAATGATAATGAAAGAAAAATAAAATTTCGCATAAGCTACTTGTGATGAAACGTATGGTGAAGATGTTGCATTAAATTGAAAAAAAAAATAATTGCAAAATCCGCGTGCGAACGTCTGAGATATTTAAAAAATAAAGTCTCACTGTTGAGGATACATCGAAGCCATATTAGAGGTGATACTGGCACCCCAATCACCGCCTTGCGTGTACCACTTGTCAAAGCCGAGTCTTAACATGAGATTCTTCATTACGAGAGCTATTTCGACGGTACCTAGACCAGCTTTAGCGGCAGCATCAGAGTAACCGAAGCCGGGCAGCGAAGGTATTACAACTTCGAATACAAAGTCGTAATTGGGTCTCGGTGTCGTCAACATCGGAATTATCTTATAGAATTCAACCACCGAGCCTGGCCAGCCGTGCTGAAGATACAATGGTAAAATTTTGAGCTTGTGGTCTTTAGGTAGTTGCGGCTTCACATGAATGTAGTGAATGTCCAGTCCTGTTGGCCATAGAATATCATTGTTGTCATCAACGTAAACTACTAATTAAAAAGCCTGTTTAACTCATCTCTATTATTAATAACGTCGTCCGAATGATTTTCATGTAGACGGTCTGCAAAGTTTGGCGTAACTCTACATAGATATAAATTATAGTACATACTGCAATTATTAGTTACGAAAAACTTTCTCGTCTCTATAGTTAAATTGCAAAAAATACTGCCGCATTATTATCTACTAACGATTAATGATTATATAGTTGACATCCAAGTCGAAAAAGATATAACGGTACACACATGTATGTCTCGTAGGCGAATAGAGAAATAGCGTTTAGCTAATTGTCGGATTTTTCTATTCGCCTATGACATTAGTACCTTGAACGTTGGTGATGAACTGTGGATATTGATTGAGATGTGCCTCGCGCTTCTTGAAGTCATACTTGTTGAGCCAATGATCGACCACTTTAGGCACGTAGTCACTTCTTATACCGTAAGTCCAGGCTACGTTTTCCAGGGACGATTGTAGCTTGCGCGTGTTTTTCAATCGGAATCGCAAGTCATCGATCATCTGTTAACTCAAGTTACTGGTCATTTTCGTTGAAAGATTGTTTTACGTACATTGTTTTATTATTATTATCTCCTTCATTATTGATAAGCTTTATTGTTGCTGACAGAGAGAGAGAGAGAGAGAGAGAGAGAGAGAGCAATAAGATGTGAACGTTCTGCTTTTAGTAATCATTTTCCTTGTAGACGCGTTTACCTTTTACGAAAAATTTTTATTCAATTGGCTCAACAATAAATAGAAAATTTAATTTTTTTTAAAGAATATTTAAGCCAAAGCAAAATTGATTTATTTGAGAAAGAGCTTTACTCAATTTCGGGTATATATTCAAATATAGCATAGGTTTGTATAATGATATTGCAAATTTCGTGTAAAAATTTAACACAGCTACTTATTAAAAATTCGATGGTTTAATAATTTTTAGAAGATTGTATATACAAGAAATTTAACATCCGATAGATCGTACTCGAGTTCAAAACATTCGAGGAGCTTTTTCACAGGACTCAAGTCCGATTTCGGCAATGTAGAAAATAATCGTACCTCCTTCGAGAAGCTAATCTTGAAAGGTCTAATACTCTGATCGAGAGTTTTCGGTTGTTCGCCGGGTCCCCAGTAGACATCGTGGGGTTGCGGAGGTGGTTGGTGTGATGGTATTAAAAAAATGGTCGCACCGCCAATAATTACAATGCCCAAAAGATTCGCAAGCGAGTAAATCATGACAGTGTCGCGCTCGGCAATATACTAATCGGCGACCAAGCCGACAAGGTGTCTTACTCATAAACGCGTCGCTACTCGAACGCCCTCGGAGTTTATATACTGGGTGATCCGAAACATAAAGGTGGCCAATGTCAGAACGACGCGAGCGGATTTTATAAGTTAATTTATTATTGTCTTTCTAGAAAAGTTTTGTTAATGTAAGACGAAAAATAAATTCGTCGACAGGTGTGTTCAAAATCTTTTGCATTATTATACTGAATACACACGGAGAAGAATCCTACGTTACCGACGTTGTCATTTATACTTTGTTCAAAATTTAGCATGACATTGGCAATGCTATTCAAATAGTACGTTACATTCTACGGTGAAATGCTTAATTCTTAACATTTCATCCTGATGATTCATTAACGTACATAAGAAATATTTGCAAAAATTATCTATATATTGTATATGTGGTGGGACAATTGTCACAAAGACTTTAATTAGTACTTACTTTTTACAAAAATTTAACAATTTTCATAAACATGAAAAATTTGTTATTACTATATCAAACATATTTAATACTAATCCCTGACTGAATGTTGTAGATGAGAAATTTACATCATTGGCAAATTGTTAAAAAATGTATCATATCGGTAGTCAATAACTGGCTTTCACCATTGCTTCACTTTAACTTACTGATAAATAAAAGTTGCAAGAGGTAACATTATACGGACAAGTAAAACACATTTAGAGTCGTTTATAAAATGCCTTTTGGGATTGTATTTACTCGCGAACAAGTAATAGATTTTTCAATTCTGGCGCCCGTAAGCAGCTTTTTACATGCAGAGCATGCTGAGTATAGAAAGTAGTCTAGTATAGTATAATGGACGGGGCTCCTGGACGATAATGACTCATGATAGTCTAGGAGCCTGGCTCCCTCAACATTATAGCGTCTGTTACGTCGTAAGACTAGTAGAGCCCTCTACAGGGAAGTTTTCCGTACTACGAAAAAGTATATTGTCTGCCTTAGAAAATGATAAAGAGAGGAGAGGAGAAGGGTCAAAGAGGTTAGTGGCGCGTTACAGTGAATGTTTGAAATATAATCTAAATGTTTACGATAATTACATAAATTTCTATTATAACCGGGTACGGGTTAAAAAATGGCTTACGGGCGGTAGAATTAAAAAATTGTTAATGCAGTTTGGGCTGTCGCACGTTTTATTACGTCGAGGGACGCCGTGAAGGGGAAGGGGCAATGGAGAGTCCGAGACCGCTACGCGTAGTGCACGGCGTCCCTCGACGTAATATAACGTGCTACAGCCCAAGATGCATAAATAACTATTGTTACAGATTTTGAAGGTATAAAAAACACGGATCGTACAAAGAAAAGACGGAAAGTTTTATATAGTTTGAATAATTCTATTGATTATACAATGGTTTTTATATAAATAAACAATTACATATTTAGATTTATTTTTGAGTATAACAAAAACTAACATCATTTTATTATTCTTATATTTATGTATAATCAACGTTGTAAATAATTTTTTAAGAAATCACTTAGGATAATTAGTCAGTGCAGTTTTGAACAACTGACAAATGATTAGAACACTTTCGATGGTCATTTAACGTAGATTCGCATAAGTACTCAGGTTACTTTCTTGATTGTCAAGTACAAAGGATCTATCGGTGATAAAATAACAGTGGCAGGGCGCGTTCTAAACGTTCTCGGCGTTTTATCGCAAACTTGAAACTCAAAGTTTTTGATCGCATAGGCGAGGCCTAATTTTGTTTGAATGTAAGCGAATCGCTCTCCTGAAAAATATAATGGGAGATTGAAACCGGAGTTATGATCTGAAAGTTTGGTAAGTTCTTACCGATACAATTTCGTGGACCGTCACCGAACGGTAGGTAGGTCATATGTCGCCTTGACTTGACTTCTTGTTCCTCAAATCTCTCAGGGTTGAACTGTTCGGGATTTGGATAAATTGTCGGGTCGTGCTGAATAGCGTAGGCGGGTATTATAATGCTTGTTCCTTTTGTAATCGATAATTTACTGTTGACGAAAGTGTGGTCACTCGTTGCTTCTCTTGTCAAAGAAAATACCGGTGGATATTTGCGTAAGGTCTCTGTAAACAAAGTTGTTAATGGTTATCAATGAATTGTGACTATGCTACAATTGCATACCTTTGAAAACTTTATCCAGATATTTCATATCTATAATGCTGTCATAATTCAATTTTCCATTATTTTTCTCGAATGTCTTTGTTACGTCGTCGCGAAGTCTATTTTGAATTTCAGGGTGCAAAGCTAATTCGTACATGGCATTACTTAACGTACTAGATGACGTTTCAAATCCAGCAGCGAAGAAAACGAAAGCTTGGCAGGTCAGTAAGAGATCAGTTAATTCGACTATAACAATTCAATGTTACAAAATAAATATTATATTCATCTTTCTGTTTATATTAAGTACAATCAGTATTTTTGCAAGAAGTATAGTAGTTATATTTCAGTACCGCCATCTCCTAATTTTTCTGGATGGTCTCGAACATTTATCAACAGATCAACAAAATCATTTCTTCTGACACCATTTTCCTTGCGATATTTTATTGTCTCATTAAGACAATTTACAAAAAAGTTTACCAGTTCCCTATCAACAATAAGCGGACTCAACAATATTCGTATCCAGTTATATGATTTGTTAACGATTCGTCTTATTCTATTCATAATACTTCTGTCAAAGATTTTACGTCCCATTTTTCGAAAATCACTGTCTTCATCGGCCATCGAATTCATGTTTAAGCCAAAAGCACAAATGCCGATGACGTCTGTAGTGAATTTTGCATTCATCTCTCGGCATTCAATAGGTTCATTTTTTTCCGCTAAAATTCGTAAAAAAAGGAATTATCGATCTCAAATCCCATAGACAATTCATTTTTTTGTTTGTTGCAAAAATTTGTTTTTGTTTTTCAATAGTATTTTTGATGTAGTGTTCTACATAAATATTTTACTTGATCTTCTAATATAATCTACTTTTCGCATAAATCATCAGGAAATCAACAAAAAATACTAACCTAATTGTCCAATATAGTTCACGAAGTGTTCAGTGCATTCAGTGATCAAGTAGAACATTTCTTTCAGTTTCCCCGAGGTGAAAGTTGGTGACAATACCGTCCGCATTGGTTTCCACTCCTTGTATTTAAGAAAGAATAAATGACTTGCTAAAGGAGCGATGCTCTTGTGAGTCTCGTTACCGCGATTAGAAAAATGTTGAAAATTTTTGATCAGCACATCTTTTATTAGATCTGGATCTCTCAACAACAAAACTGGATTCGAGCGTTTAAAAAGGCCAACTGCAGGTTGGCCAGGATAGGCATCGTAGATCGATTTTATGTAATTAACGTCATGAACACTTTCAAGAGTAATGTCCTCAAAGGTTCCGTAAAGCGGTTTCGGCTTGGGCCCAACGACTTGACGTTTCTCCCAATAATCAAAGTTCCACGTTAAAAGATGGTACACCACGTATAAAAGTGCCACTAGTCCTACAAGAATTTCAACAGAACAGATTTCCATTATTCGTTTCTCGAATCACAAGTAACATATCACTTTCAAATACGTGCGGATCGAGAACATTTGCAAGTACGCCCTGTCGCTGCTCTGAGCGCGATACTAATACTAACTTGTTACGGAGATTGAGGCCGTTTTATAAATAGTATCTTATCATACATGCTTGGTCATTATGAGTTGTTACTAAAAGTCTTTACTTAAGATCTCACCCGAGATCTCATACAAGCGCAGTAACTGGCGTGCTTAGCGAAACGACGCTAATTTGTCTCTTGAGTTATTTTATACCGATTCACTATCAACTAATTGAATGAACAAAATATATTGACGATAATTTGCAAGTATTAAAAAGAGAATAACGTCCGTATTCTCGACATAATCTCAGAACAATACGATAACGTAATCTTCATAATCGCTAATTACATTTATTCTCTCGAGATATAGAATGCCTTTATTATAAAATTTAGCTTCGAATAAACATTATCCACACACAATTGAGAAAATTCAAAATTCATAGATATTGTTTCATATGTGTGTGTGTAATACTGTAAAGTGATTTCGGCTCATTCGATACAGTAATTTATTCAACCAATTGTTTAAAATTAAACTCATAAATATAATCAAAACTTCAATAACTTCAATATTGAAACAGCTGAAAAGTCGAAAAGTGATAGTCATATTGATTGTTGAAATGTATTTTTAAAAAAGAACCCATTCAGCCGAAGTACGTTAACAAATAAAGATAATTTAATTGCCAGCTGCAGCTGGCGGTTCGACTTATTTAGATAACTGAAAAACTCCTGTTACTTTCCTTTTACTTTTGTCAAAAGAACTTCCACGGGTTATTTGAAAATATTTTATTTCACCTATAACAATTTTTATTCGATTCAACTACCAAACAGAATATTAATATATAAACAAGAAATGAACGCGTTTGAACACGTTAGTGTTATTGTATTGAAGCTACAAAAATTGTACTTTTTATATGTTACTCTTGAATATGTCAATTTGAAATATTTTGGCCGTGCTGAAAAAAACGAACAGCATTAGCTGCCTCAATCTTACGTACTATCCCGCACTACATAAGCATTCTCCTCGAGCATTTGTCTGGGCCAAGGTATACATAAATAGTTCGCTAGCAGGAAAAATTCCGTAGAAAATTATTTAAAAAAAGGATGTTTAGGTATTATTCTCATGAAAATATAATTCCAGAACATATTTTATTTACTTCGAGATTTTTCGTCGCATTATATTAGAAATATTGCAAATAATTACTATGCAATACTCCTCGCTCATGTAGACAATCGGCTGTTATTAAGAAATACATATAATGTTGCAATTGGAGGGATCAAATGAATACAAAGTTCTTCCGTGACTAAGATAGATACAATCATAATATCAATATAATTGACCTTTTGCAAACTTGTGGTAAGCATAACTAATAAAGATCAGAGTTTCTTTATTTTCAAATATAAGCCTTCTTCAGGTGCCAAAAGTAGAACGTTCAATTTCTTTTTATAAACTTTATTAGTTTTCTCACATGTTTCACGTTTGAAATGTTTAACTGCAGCGGCAAGTCCTAATTTCGTTTGAAGGTGCGCAAATCTTTCCCCTATGGCGTAATATAATTTTTTGAACAAGATTTCACGTAATTATATCAGTCTTTGTTTAATAAAATATGTATTATTTATTACCAATACAATTTCGCGGTCCATCGCCAAAAGGTAAAAACGTCATGGGCGATCTTAATTTTACAGCTTCTTCGGTGAATCTTTCAGGATCAAATTTTTCCGGATCAGGGTAGATATTCGGATCGTGATGTATAGAGTAAACAGAAATAAAAATTCTTGTTCCCTTCGTTATAGAAATACCATTTTTATCAAATAAGTGATCGTCTGACGCTTCTCTTATTATAATAAATGCAGGCGGATACTTGCGCAAAGTCTCTGATCCGTACACCGAGAAAATTTAGCGTCATTGATAAGATTATATTATTTTCTAGAATTTTATAAAATTACATTTGTAAATAAAATTTACCTTGAAACACTTTATCAAGATATTTCATATTCTTGATACTTTCGTAATTCAATTTTCCACCACTTTGGCTCGTAACTTTATTAATTTCATCGCGTAGAATATCTTGAATAGCGGGATTCAAAGCTAATTCATACATTGCGTTGCTGATGGTAGTAGATGACGTTTCAAATCCAGCAACGAAAAAAGCAAAGGCTTGTGCACTAAGTAAAACATCTGATATTTCTGAAAAATTAATGGTAAAATGCATCTATATTCAAAGTATTGTCTTAAAAAAATTATTTCAAAATTTATATACTTTCTTCCCCAACTTGCTCTGGATGTTCTCTTATATCTCTTAAATTATCGATAAAGTCATTTCGCCGTATATTATTTTTTTTCCTGTACTCGATCGTTTGCATTATAGTATTTACGAAAAAATCAATGGTCTGTTGATTTGTAACAATCGGTTTGAAGAGAGCTGCAAACCAGTGAGGCATTATTCTTGTATTGATTCTTATTCTATTAGACCAATTATCAGCAAATAATTCACGTCCAATTTTTCTAAAATCACTGTTTTCATCCTTCATGGCATTCAAATTTAAGCCATATACGCAAACTCCAATTACATCAGTAGTGAATTTGGCTGTGATCTCTCGGCATTCAATAGGTTCCTTTGTAATCGCTAATAATTACAAAAAGAAGTATGTTTTATAAATATTTGAGAATCTTAGAAAATATTAATTACGCAACCAGTGTCATTTTATCTTAATATAATATTATTAATAAGAATTTTAATAATAACTAACAAGTAATTTAATATTAGAAGTTACCTAATTTTTCTAGACAATTAACGAAATGTTGAGTACATTCATCAATCAGATAAAACATTTCCTTGAGTTTTCCTGAAGTGAACACCGGTGTCAACTTCCTGCGCAATGGTTTCCATCTTTTGTATTCGAGGAAGAATAAATTTTGCGCGAGCGGTTCGAGGTCGGCGTGAAATGTTATGCCTCGATTTCGGAATGTCATGAAACTCTTGATAAGCACATCTTTCACTAATTCCGGATCTTTCACCAACAGAAACGGCGTTGTACGTGAGAAAAGACCAATCATCGGATCATTCGGGTAGACGTCGTAAATTGATTTCAAATAATCAGCCATGTGGATCTTGCTCAAGATAGTGTCTTTGAATGTACCGAAAAACGGCAATGGCTTTGGTCCAGCAACACTTCGCTTCTTCCAATAGTCAAAATTTCTTGTGAAATAATAACAAACTATGTAAAATAACATAACTAAAACTGTTAAAATAACAATAAAAAAGCTTTCCATTGTGTCTAATGCTTTGTGAATATTCTATCGATTTTTCTTAGCGTAAGGCAAGCTCCAGAGATATAATCACACTGTCAGTTATTAACTTACGTAGTCTCAAATCCCTTTTTAGCGCTCTTGAATTGCTAAAGTGATTACAGACGTGATTGATGATTATGATGTAAGCTTTGTTTTTTATTATGAAAATGCTTGTATTGGCTGATTACTTAAAACGTAAGTACTGCAATTAGTACGAGTATGAAAATTTCCGTTGAAAATTTTTTGACATGAGAATGTTCTAAAAACATAATATTTCACAGCTTTTTCAGTTAAACAAGTTGTTAATTGGAACGATAATCATATAACGACTTTTTGAAAAAAATCTAAAAGACTTTTTATGAAAAAACAAAAACAATTGATATATTGATGTTAACTTTGAGATAACACTTATTATTCATAATATAATAGCTTCTTGATTCTTAAATATAAATGATCTTTTGGTGCAATTGGAATGAGTTCAGGTCATAATGCATGTAAGTTTTGTTGTAAGTTACAAATGTGAAGTTTTTTATTATTATAGCAGTGCTCGCAGCTTCGTTTAATTCTATGAAAATTGTTTACCTGATAAGTATACAATTTCAAATCAACCTTGAGTACCTATGCAAAAGTTGTGCAGAACACAGTATCAACAATAGTTTTTAGCTCCAAACTCTTTATTTTTAACTGCCATAATTTCAAGAATAGAACACTACCCTAAAATATTTACAATAGAGGTCAACAACACAATTTTTCAGTTTCATATTATAATAATCGGTTGTAACTAGCAACCGTTATTACATTCATCATCAGATTTTTACTTGCGTTGGATTCAATATATTAGTATTTGCAATTTCTTCGTACATTATATTAGTGTTGCACAAATGTAATTCTAAAGAAATGCTTTTAATGTAGCATAGACTTTTATAGAAGACTTTAAACAGTAGGAAATTGTTAACAAAAATTAATAATACAAAGACAATAAGAATATAACTGCTTGAAAATTGATTAATATTAATATTATTATTAACCTAATTATTCGTTATTTTCGTTTTTATATAAACTCTATCATTCTGGGATTTTCTACATAAGAGCCATCGGACATCGAACGCCAGACGTGTACGAAGGTGTAAAAATCAATTACTTATTTAACATTAATTCGTAAAATAAAAATAAATTTTGCATGTGAACTTTTCAGACTACGCACAAGTATCTGGTAAGATAGCGAAAAACAATTAATTTATTTGTTACTCCAGTATATTACTAACATTTGATTTCCAATGTCTAATAGCTCTTATGCAGAAAGTTCCTCAAGAATAGAATAGATTTAGGGTATATGACGGAATTCTGAAATGAAGAAATCTTTAAATGAAACTGTACTTTTGGAAAAAAACCAAATTCTATAAACAAAATTTCATGAAAACAGTTTCTCTGAAATGAAACATTAATTCCTTTTAAATTATTAGATTTCAAATTACAAAAGAATGAAAAACAGTATTTTTAACTGTGGAATTTTAAAAAATCCTGTAGTAGAGGGGATTTAAATGGTTTTTATCAAATTTTAATATGTTGAGATGAATGTCAATAAAAATTTTACAGCTTTTTGAATTTAAAGTGTAAATCATCTTTTAGTATCATTACGAAACTTTGGGGCTACGATAATAAAACACGAAATTAGTGACAAAACTTGTTTTGTCGCTAATTTCAAGTCTCACGTGTTTTATTATCGTAGCAACTCTCAGTTTTAGTAGATTTAAAACTTTCTTTTCCATCGGGAAAGTCGCGTATATCCATTAAAAGGTCAATGAAATCTGACTGATTGATTTTATTTATCTTTCTATAGTACATTGTGGATATTACCAAATTGATAACAAATTATATAGCATTTACATTTTGCAATAATGGTTTCGAAATAATAACAATCCAATAAGGTAAAAGTCTACTAATTCTTTAAATTTACTGCGACAATTATCAATAAAAATAGCTTGATTAAATTTTTGGAATGCATTATTCTTATCCAGAATTGTGTTTATTTATTGACTAAAAACACACAAGCTTGTAATACAGTCACGGTTTTGGTGGAAATCTCAGAACATTCGATTATTTCCTTCTGTGATATTGTGTCAAATAGAATAATCAGAAATAAAAATTATTATCGTGATTTACAAGCATTTTAATGATAAATAGTTAGCACACTTGTTGATTAAATAAAATATTTTTCTTAGTTTACCTGATGGGAATATTGTCGACAAATTTTCTACGTAGTGGCTTCCATCTTTTATATTCTACAATAATAAGTGTTGCAGTGTTGCTGGAGTGGTTCGAAGACTCGATAGAACTTTTACGTAATGGTTCGAAAGTGTCGTGAAACTTCTAATTAGCACATCTTTTATCATGTTAGGATCTATGATCAATAATGCCGGTATGGTGTTGACAAAAAAGACCAACTACAGGCTCATCTAGATATGAATTACAAACTGATGTTCTATAATTTACAATATGTGTTTTACCAAGTTACACGTCGTTGATTGATCCGTAAAGTAAAATTAGCTTCAGTCCGGGTATACTGTAATTTTCCTAATAAGTTAACAGAGTTAGAGGAATATTAGTAATAGTTAATAAAAAAATATATGAAATAATTTATAATTGTCGTATCGCAATGTATGACTTAGTTAGCTCGTCAGTTATACACTAATGTGTACTGTAAGCTCAATCAATTATACAGACCAATAATTATATTTTCAGCTTTATTATTAAAGATATCTATTTATTTGAGTAATAGATAGTTGTGGCAGTTTGTGTTGCTGTCCTGTTTATGCGATATTGGTGACTTGCATAGGTATACTGTTAATATTCGAACTACTACTATTTTATTCTATGGATATTTGTAGTGGTTTACGTTTACAGAGATAGGCTATATAAATGAGAAATAATTTCAGTCATTGAACTATACATCAATGAATTGAATCAATTTATCTAGAAATAAAAATAAGTAGCTTACGATGCAAAATTTATTTATATTAAAATATAAGAGATCTCTCGGAGCTACGATTGAATTATTATAATTGTAATATTATATAATCAATATAATCTTAGAATTTGCATATGTAATTATAGGAAGAATGATTAATCTTCTGGCGCGATTATTTTTTGTTAACAAGTGCATTGATTGCTATTGACTGAAAATGTAAATCGTAATTGCTCAATTTTGAATAAATGCTACAATTACTATAAATATGTTGGCATACATTAAACGTCTAGTTTCTAATATGTCTAGACAAATTTTGCAAACTTAATAAATTATCGGTATTTCTGTGTTAATGATATTGTTTGATAATTAATTATATCAATTCCTTAAAGAAAACTAATTTTCATTGTCATTGCATATGAACTTGTAATAGTATCAATATTTTACATTAAGCTGAAGTTATGATACCATCACAGCCTTTTTATTTTCAAGAACAAACCATTCTTTGGTACAATTAAGAAAAATCGAGGTCTTTTTACATACTGATTGCAAGTTTTATCGCAAACATCCAATGTATAATGCTTAATTGTAGCTGCCAGTCCTAATTTAATTTGATTGTGAGCGAACTGCTCACCTGCATGAAAAAAGTATATTACGTTTCATCTTCCATATTAAATAAATCAATCTTAATTTACAATGCAACCAATGTTCATTTACCGATGCAATTTCGGGGTCCATCACCGAAAGGTAGAAAGGTCATCTGGGGTCTTGATTTGACTAATTCTTCGTCAAATCTTTTTGGATCAAATTTTTCGGGTTCAGGGTAAATATTTGGATCATGATGAATAGCGTAAATTGGGATGAAAATTTTCGTGCCTTTGGTTATCATAATTCTGCTTTCCTCAAACATGTGATCATCTACGGCTTCCCTCAAAAGTCCAAATACTGGTGGATATTTACGTAGTGTTTCTGCAAATAAAAAATTTAAGATATATACTTCATAAGAATTAATTATGAGAATAAGTGTTAATACAAATATATTTACCTTGAAATACTTGATCAAGATACTTCATATTTTTGACTGTTTCATAATTTAGTTTCCCATTATCTTTATTATAAGCAATGTTAACTTCTTGGCGTAGTTTTTCTTGTATATCAGTGTTCAATGCCAATTCGTACATTGCATTACTAATTGTTATATATGATGACTCAAATCCAGCAACGAAGAAAGCAAACGCTTGAGCAGTCAGAAGTATATCCGACACATCTCGAATTAATAAAAGTAAATTATTATTACAGAATTTGAATAAAACTGCGTTGGTAAAAATTAATGTTAAAAAAATTTTGTATACTTCCGGAGCCGCTTTGGTCAGGACGATCCTTTAAATTCATCAAGTGGTCGATAAAGTCATTTCGTTTTAAATTATTTGCCTTTCTGTAGTCCATTGTACTTTTAACAGTATCAACAAAGAAATTAATAATCTTTTCATTGCGAAAAATTGGCTTCAATGTAGCTGCTACCCAGTACGGTAATCTTCGATTCAAGAGTCTTAATTTATTTTTCCAACTATCAGCAAACAGTTCTCGTACAATTTTTCTGAACTGACCAACTTTGTCGTCCATTGTATTCATGTCGAAGCCAAAAGCATGAACGCCGATGACGTCAATAATGAATTTTGCTGCAAGCTCTCGACAATCGATCGATTCCTCTTTTGCCACTTGGTATAGCAATTCAAAAAAAGATCATTACAATTAATAATTGCCAACAGAAAGGAATAACTCGATTTACTATTGAATAAACTTTACCTAAAATGTCTATATAGTCGATGAGCTGTTGAGCGCAATCATCGACCAAATAAAATATTTCTTCGACTTTCTTCGAAGTAAACGCTGGTGCCAATTTCCGGCGGAGCGGTTTCCATCTTTTGTAATCCAAAAATATCAAATGTTGTGCAAGTGGTTCGATGTCCTCGTAGATTTTCAAACCGCGATTAGGAAAAGTCAAAAAATTTTTGATCAGCGCATCCTTTATCATATTCGGATCTTTCATCAGCAAAACTGGTATGCTACGATAAAATAGACCGACTGATGTCTCACCAGGATAGGCATTGTAAATTGAATTTACGTAATCGACGGCGTGAATTCTATTTAAAGCAACGTCTTTAAATGTTCCGAAAATAGGTAATGGTCTCGGCCCCACGACATTACGTTTTCTCCAGTAATCAAAGGTTTTTGTCAGCCAGCAGCGTACGAGATACAATGTCATAGCGACTCCCGATACGATTTCGTATAACGAGAACTCCATCGTTGATGATTTTTAAACTGACGCTTTGTCGACACTAACATTTATTTGTGATTTTCACAACTTTGACCACTTCGTTGTCGCGGGCACATTCGTTTGAAATGATTCTCAAACTGTTCACTGAACACCGCGTCGGACTCGACATAGTACTGTTTTGATCTGTCGCAAGTTTACATAACCGAGCTAAAATCGTCTATTAATGTTAATATAGTATTTTCCTTATGACCGACGTGACTGGTACATTCACGAGTTCTTTTTTACGAATCCCATTGCTAAATAATTCACTAATTATTATGCTATTCGTAAAGTTAAAAAATTACATATCGCATTAGGTATGAATTTTTTAAAGACGGTTTATGTTTATCAATAGATTCCAGAACTCTTAACGCAATGGACGTGGTATACATAATTTTAAAAAGAATGTACGATTGACATTATAGGTATATGCGTAATCGGCATAATTATGTCCCTATTTTCAACTAATTATAGTTCATAAATTGATGTTGTTCAAACTTGTTTTTATAAACATCAACTCGGCGGGACATATGTGAAATGTCAATTGATCGAGGAAAACTAAACATTCCTAGCTAACATTTGAGAGAATGTCTCTTACGAAATATTGCATTGTCATCATTAATTTGTCGTCTTTTATCTGAGATCAATAACAACAAAGCCACCTGAGCGAGAGCGTTTGAAGAAAAATAATCATGCGTGATGCTGATCAAAGGAATGGGTTTCTTCTAAGTCCACAGTTTTTTTACACAATTACTTTTTCCATTTAATACCAAGTTTGAACATTTAATGGAATTTCATTTATTCCATGAATTGCTGGTGGTGGCGTGGACTAAAATTTTGTTAATGATATTACGAATTTGTCATGGGATCTATATTTGTTAAAATTTTACACCGAACTGCCTTGACTAGGATTCTAATTAGATATCATAATTTTTCTTTGCTAATATCGGCTCGCCTGACTATTCGGCACGACGCCATTCTGTCGTCCTCGGACCGGCAATCTCGTCTTTACGCGCTTCAGTTCCAGACAGACGCGATGCTCGATCGCTCGACTGGTGACACAACTAGAGGGCCATCAACCTCGACTCGATTCCACGGCTCGCCCCTTCCGATGCGAAGCACGCTTCAGCACGCCGATGAAGTGCATCGATATAGCTAATCGAGTACACCTCCTAATGGAAGAAAACGATCTCGACGATCTGCGGCTTAGTCTGTAAAAACGAGGAGGAATTCGTCGCCGCGAAGATGATCGTTGGCTATCTGTACGCTCGCGATTTAGAAAATCCGGCGCGGGTCTGCTATTTTAAATAATTCGTAAATTTTGTTAATCGACTGTAAAATTTTTACATAATACATAGAAGGTAATAACAAAAATTGTTGACATTTCTACCGATGCAATATGCGATGCAATATATATATAGTTATTTTGAAATTTCTGGATTACAGCTATCTTTTTACTTCTTAATACCTTATCCTTGATCACGATTAAAAAATATCTGACGCTATGACTGCGTTTTCGTATAAATTTTTGTTATCGTTTTCTGTCCAAGTAATCTTGGCTTTTCAACGCGTGTTCATTTTTGCGTATAACTTACTTTTTCTAATACATTTTTTGTTAGCGTAAAAAATGTTAAAAAAGGCTTTGAAAAATATTAGGAGCGAAAATATTATTTTGATCATAGAATTGATGGCGTGACCATCAAAGTTTCGTTATTTTCAAATATATGCCGTCCAAAGGAGATAAAAGAACGGTGTTGGCTTTTTTGTATACTTTGAAAGTCTTTTCGCATACGTCAATCCGAAAATGTTTGACCATAGCGATGATCCCAAGCTTCGTTTGGATTAGACCAAATCGCTCTCCTAAAATGAAAAAAAATGAATCTTTCAAATCAGACATTGTAAAAATTCATAGTCGCCCACTGACCAATACAATTACGCGGGCCGTCACTGAAAGGAAGATAGCTCATTTGGGGCCTTGAATTTTCATTCGTTTCGATGAATCTTTCTGGATCAAATTTCTCGGGATTCGGATAAATTCGCGGATCGTGATGTATAGCGTCTACGGGAATAATAACAGTGGTTCCCTTGCTTACTGAAATTTTACTACTGCCAAAGGTGTGATCTCTTACAGCTACTCTAATCAGACTGAGTCCAGGAGTGTACTTTCGTAAAGTTTCTGTGTAATGAATTAATTGTTAATTTTCAACACATTGTCATTAATATTAATAATGTCATGGCAATACCTTTAACAACTTTGTCCAGATATGTCATAGCGTTGACAATTTCGAAAGACAACTGGTCGTCATTTGCAGACGCAACAGCTTGTATTTCTGCCCGTAATTTATTTTGTATATGATGATTGAAAGCCAACTCGTACATGACGTGGCTAATAGTCGACGATGAAGTTTCGAATCCAGCCAAAAAGAAAGCGAAAGCTTGCGCAGTCAATATAATATCTGTCATTTCTGCAACATGGGATAAAATAAAAAGCATTACAAACACAACTTTTTTGTAGGTGTCACTTCTTTACGGGACTTGTGTAAACGTCCATACTTTCTCCCTCGATTTGATCAGGATTATCCTTCAAGTCTCTCAGTAGATCGACGAAGTCGTTTCTTCGAATATTAATTTTCTTTCTATGTTCTATCGCATTTGTAATAGTATTGACGAAAAAATTGATAACCTCGTCATTTCGGGCGAAAGGCTTGAAAGGTTTGGCCGCCCAGCCTGGTAGCGATCTAACAGTACGTCGAACTAGATTAGACCAATTATTGGCGAACTGTGCAAGTCCGTATTTAAGAAAGTCGCTGTCCGAGTCGTTTAATGAATTGGTATGCAAGCCGAAAGCACATACTCCTATAACGTCGATCGTGTATTTAGCCGCTAGTTTACGACATTCCACTATTTCATTCTTGGAAACTGATAAGTACAAAAAAAAACGGTATCAATCCCACATCAGGTACTGATGGTAAAGAGTGAATTGTCTGACTATTGTTCACTGAGTAACTTTAAAAATACACGAATATCTTTGAACCATTTAATGAAGAGAGAAGGAAAATTCAATATTCAGAATACATACCCAATCTTTCCATATACTCGACAAAATGTTGAGCACACTCATTTATCAAGTAAAACATTTCCTTAATTTTTCCGGAAGTAAAGGTAGGTGACAATTTTTTGCGCATCGGTTTCCATCTTTCGTAATGTAAATGTAAGAGCTGCTCTGCCAAAGGATCAATATCAAAGTTAATCTTTCCACCACGGTTTGGAAAAGCCGTGAAATGTCTTATAAGCACATCTTTAATCATTTCTGGATCTATGAGTAGTAATACTGGTTTGCTTCCCTGAAATAAACCAACAGCAGGTTCACTGCAATGCGCATCGTAAATGAGTTTTATAAAGTCAGCGCTATGTATTTTGTGAAAAGCAACATCTTTGAAAGTGCCAAAATATGGAATTGGCTTCGGTCCCGTTACATTTTGTTTCTTCCAATAATCAAAATTTCTGGTTAGATAATGATAGAATAAGTACACTATCACTGATAAACCAATTAGAATTTCAAAGTATGGAGTCATCACAACTTGGTATTTCTATTGTAAATTGTTCACTGAACGCACTGTTGCTTAACGCTATTGTTCAATGGTCAGTGTTGTTCCTTTCGCGATAAAATTATTCTTTGAAAACAAGTCTCATATCTTATCTTCTGCATATTTGGAGGTACATTTGTTTTATATTTTCTTGATACTTGGGATTTGAAAAGAATTTGTACACTGTATTTTGATAATTTATGAGACCTACTTGATAATTATTAAAATTAATATTATTATTCTCTGATCAAATTTAGTAGTAATAAAAGTAAGATTTTTAACGATTCTTTCTTCTAATTAATATTTACACACCACGCGGACCCGTACACACACACACACACACACACACACACACACACACAAACGGTGTCAGAACTGTGTACTAAAGTGCTATTCTTGAAATCATTTTAAACTTAAAAATAACATGAAATATGTTTGTGTTACAGATTTGCTCTCTATGATTTGCTATTGTTGTAATTTACAATATTAAATTTATATTAACATTAGAGAGAAATTAGTATTCCGTACAAACTTTACTAAATTTATTCTTCTTTTCGCCAACTAATACAAAATTTATATACTATATTTGAAGTAGGTTTTTAAACTTTCTTTATATTCAAATACAAACCATCCTGCGGTGCAAGTAAAATATTGTCGAAACGCTTTTTATATACTTTGCAAGTTTTTCCGCAAATCTGGAATTTAAAATTTTTTATAGCAATCGCAAGGCCTAATTTTGTTTGGTTGTACGCGAAACGTTCACCTATAAACAGAAATAAGATTATTTAAATCACATTTTTTTTTTCAACTTTACACAATTTTAATCAATATGCTTTTTTCAGTTCACCGATGCAGTTACGTGGACCATCACCAAAAGGTAAGTAGCTGAAATTTGGCCTTGAATCAATGACCTTTTCGTCAAACCTTTCTGGATCAAATTTATCAGGATCAGGATAAATACTTGGATCGTGATGAATGGCATGAATGGGGATCGATATCCTTGTTCCTTTCGTAATAGAAATCTTATGGTCAGAAAAAGTGTGATCACTCGTTGCTTCTCTTGTTATCCAAAATATTACTGGATATTTTCGTACGGTTTCTAATGTAGTTAATCGTAAATAAATATTGACAAACGAATAACTAAATAATATTGTTTACCTTTGAAAACTTTATCTAGATACTTCATATCTTTAACAAGATCATAATTCAATTGACCGTTGTTTTTATCGAAGGTCATTATAATTTCCTGACGGAGTTTGTCTTGGATCTCAGTGTTTAAAGCCAACTCGTACATGGCATTGCTCATAGTTGTAGAGGAAGTTTCGAATCCAGCAATAAAAAATACAAAAGCTTGGGCAGTTAAAACTAGATCTGTCATTTCTGTTAAAGAGATACAATATACATACGTATATTCAGAATCATTACTAAATTTATTGTCAGCTACAGTTTTTTTATTTACAAAATTTGTAATGCCATCTATCTTTGAAATCGAAAAAGCTTTTTTACCTTCTTCTCCAGCATTATCAGAGCGTCCTTTGATATCCATCAACAAATCAACAAAATCATTTCTTCTGATGCCATTTTTCTTTCTATACTCCATAGTGTCCGTCAAAATGTTGGTAAAAAATTTGATCATTTTTTCGTTGCGAGCTATCGGTTTCAATATCAAAGCCATCCAATACGGCAATGATCTAATACCTATTCGAATCGTATTTGTCCACGAGTTAGCTAAAAAGTCTTGTCCAACTTTTCGAAATTCGCTCTTGTCATCTGACATTGAATTTGTGTTTAAACCAAAAGCGCAAACTCCAATGACGTCGGTGGTAAATTTAGCGGTGAGGTCGCGACATTCCACAGGATCATCTTTCATTGCTAATCATTTTCGAAGAAAATTGAAAATTTTCAATTTGCTAATTGTATCTTGTCGTGCACGAACATTATAAAATAATAAATATTGGCAATTGATGTTATATAAAAAAAAGAAAAAATGTTTTCATTCTACTTGAATAAGCGACAGATTATTGAACAGGAGAAAAGATTGAAAATAATTTCAATGTGTCTTCAATATTTTTTTTCTTATACACACTTTGTGAAAATTTCATAATATTATATACTTGTCAACAATGATCATTATGATAGTATTATAAATAATCAATCGAATTATTACCATATTTTTATCTGAGTCGTACCTAAGCTTTCGAGATACTTTGCAAAATTATCCGTACACTCGTTGATAAGATAAAACATCTCCTTCAGTTTCCCCCTCGAAAAAGCAGGCGTGAGATTCTTTCGCATTGGTTTCCATGTGTCGTAATTCAAAAGTACCAAATTTTTCCCGAGCGGATCAATGTCCTCGTGAACTGTGAATCCTCGATTTGTAAATCTCGAAAAATTTTTAATCAGCACATCCTTCATCATTTCAAAATCTTTGACGAGTAGCATCGGCGTATCTCCTGCAAAAAGTCCAACTGCTGGTTCGTTGGGGTAGGTATCGTAAATTGATTTAAAGTAATCTGCCAGATGAATTCTGCCGAGCTTCACATTTTTAAATGTACCGAATAGAATGGTTGGTTTCGGCCCAGGTACTTGGCGTTTTTTCCAGTAATTAAAGTTTCTTGTTAGATTAAAGTAAATATAAACGAGAACTATTACTATCGCTAGTAAAATTTCAATAGATAAACGTTCCATTTTCGTTAAAAGAAATATTAATGTACGTAATTAATTTTTCTTCGCGATTATATGAACATTTTCATTTTTTAAAAATATTTTTAAACTGTTATATTAAGCCGATTTCAATGATCTTAATTTTTTTCATGACCCTCGTTTATCACCAATATAATTTTAGATATTTTATATCATGATAATTTTTATCTCACTAGAACGAACATAAAATCACTGAAAAACAAATTATTTTCGTATCGTTGCCATTGGGCCTGTTTAATAATTTTTACACTAAAACTAATCAATCGTATTCCACCGAACTTTTTTTATTTATATTTTCAATCAACACTTCACGTATAGGCTTAAGATTTTCATGCTTCACAGACACTCGCGCTCAATTAAAAATATTAATCAACATCAACAGTCATTAATCTAAATTGATCTGATTTTAGATAAAACGTTGAAAATGTGGCCACACATCCAACTGCAACTCGAATCGACTGGCTTCTTTTCACATTGATTATGCCCCTTTTGCTGCGCTGACAAATCGATTCCGTTCCTCGCGGAAGCTGCTGTCGTTCGTTTAATATTACGCATACCTCCCACCTTAAAAACTTTCTCTGGCATCCTCGAGGGGTCTACGCTTCTCTTCGCTTTCTCCTCTGTTTTTTAAATCGCGGCTGCATTTATTAATGACAACCAACTGTACAAAATGATGTTGTATAACAAGCTGAGTAATCGATAAAGCGGATACTTTGAGTGGAAGTGCAAGATACAAAGTGCATTTCAAACGGTTAATCATTATTTTAACTACGTTATGCGACAGTCAGAGCTTAATGAATAATAAAATGAATAGATATATATTTTACTTGACGAAAATGCAATAGTTGAAATAAGCCATAGAACTAGATAGTTAAGAAGATATTGAGATTAGTTTTAATAACGCAAATTTTATTGTTTAAATTAAATATGAATGTTACATATGATGTCGTATCTACAGAAAAAGTACAAAGTAGTAAGTCACCAATCGCTTTCACGATACATCCTTACGACATAAAAACTGATTTTGTTTACACACATCTCTTACGTATCTTCCTCGCACGTTCTATAATGATCAAAGCGCCGTCAACAAGTGCCATCGATTAATTTTCTTCCGTCGTTTGCATTTCCCACGAGGAGGAAGACATGGTGCATACAGGATAAGAGAGAGGCTAAGAAGGAAATCAACTGAAAAACTGATCACTTGAAAGAGTTGATTTTGGCGATGAGGACGACGCCGGGCACACGGAGGGGAGGGAGGGGGATGAATACAAAAATAAATCGCGGATTGCTGAAGAAAAGCAGTCACGACAGAAGGCACGACAACATTGCTACGCAACAAAGAGAATGTTTTTTCTCCGTCTGCCTCTTTCACTTTTTATATCGTCTCACTTCGCCTTCGTCTCTCTACAAGCGCAGCACGCTTACAATCATTAAAAAATTAAATTAGCGCTTTCAGCGGAATCGTTACGCTCACTCTCGCTTTTATGCCAATCGTAACGTGATATTTTTCTATGCGTATATATATGATTTTCTTGTATTTATTGTGTTACAGGTTTAAGTACGATATCAGTTTAATTGATCGATTAATGCATTTTTTATTTATAATCAACGTTCGTAATAGAGATTCTAGTTGAGCGGAAAACATTTATTACGTATATTTTTACTGATGAAACCGTATCATACGTGAGCTCAGTGAATTGTCTTCTTTCCTTTCTTCTTCCTTTTTGTTTATAATTTGTACTAATTTTGTTGATCGTTACTTTTTGTTTGCATACATACGATCGGGGGATGATTCTAATATATACTGTTATTAATCCTACGTGTACATTACGTCTACGTTTAATGAGTAATTTGGCGTAGACCTATGATTTTTATTTGGAAGTAAACAAGTTAAAGATCTACAGTTTGGTCAAACTTAATAACTTTGAGTAATCAAAGAGAAAAAAAAATTATCTTAATAAAACAACAAAATCATCGTTTGGATGACTTCTACGAGGGTTACGTAAAAACAAGAGTATTTAGTAATTAATTACGGTTATAAACAATATAGCTGATGTAATTGTATGTGAGGGACTTTCTCGGGTAAATATACATCGATTATGATTAATCGTGCCAAGCTCTTTAAAACAAGAGTATTTTTTTCTTTTTTCTGTTAGAATTAGATGTTCTCATCATTTATTTCTTTTTCTCGATCAAAACGGCCAGCCAGTCTTATTATTCTCGTCTCTTTATTTTTATTTCTCGTTTTTCTTTAACTTTCTCAAATACGTTAACAAGACAAAATCGCTATGAAGCTAAGTAATACGCAAAACGTAAAACGTGTTTTATTTTTTATAATAAATGTTTGATAACAAATATCGCAGCACAACTCCCAAAATTTGGAGACATTTGCACATGTCAACGATAAATATTTTTGTTTATAAATTTATACAATGTTATATGTATTTTAATACGATGAAAAACACGCGAAAGCTTCGAAACTTCAGGAGTGTACTTATAATTATGCCATTAATCTGTTACTTTCTTGCTGTGAGTTAGCTAAAAAAAATCAACCGACTAAAATTAGTTTACAAGCAAGATCACAAATTGTTTGACGTTTCTATAAGTAAGCTTATTTAATTGTTTTTATAGTTCATCGACAATTATATCGGCGTTTTCCGTTGTTGCTAGTAAAAAACACGAAATTTCGAAGTAACTTCGTATCGTTTTCATAGATAAAAAATATATGTAAAGATATTAAAAATCTTTTTTTTTTTTTTGTTACATCGATAAATAAACGAACGGAAGTGTCATCGACGTGAATTACTATAAGACAGGCAAATTGAACAAAATATACTAATCTAGTTACTCAATGAAAATCAATACTTCAAATTAAAATGACGAATTCAACGTATGTTTTGCTATCTAATAGCATTTTTTTTTCAATTTCAATAACAAAAATTCAACAATGTATCTCTTCTGCAAGTGGGAAATGAAAAAAAATTGCTGCTGCTGGTTTGCCCGTAAATATAGTGGTCGTTCAAAAAGAAGACGTTGGCAGGCGATTTAGACTGGCGGTAGAGCCCAAAGAGTTGATGTTTTATCGGCCGAAGTGCTAAGGAATGAAAATTCTGTTGGGTGCCAGCGTGCTGAGATTACCTTGTCTTGATGCTGAGCAACGACAAACGCTTGGCAGCGGCATTGTCAGATCACCTAGAGAATGAAAATGAAATTAGAATGATTGAATGCTTAATTTTTTCTAATTGTGTGTTTGAACCTACAAATTATCATTATAATATTGTACAGTAAAGTAATGAAGAAATGATAGGGCAATTAAAAAACGTACAACTCGTATGATTCTCTACACATTTTATGAGATAAAGAATTAAATTTACTTAAAAATTGCCGGATTTCTTCTTACTTAATTGAATAAGGAAAACTCGTTTGACAAATTCCAAGCGTGAATGTCTAAAAATCTCACCTTGTAGATCCGTAAGAACGATTTTGTTGTCGTAGCCACCGGTGAGCAGATAGTAAGCAGACGGTGAGAATCGAATGCTTCTAATGTCGGCGGCGTGTGGTTTGAAGCATTGCACATTGCGCCCACCGCGTATGTCGAACAGCACGCAGCTACTGTCCTCGTGACCGGAGACGAGAAGACGACCCGACGGATCGACGCACACTGCCGCGACCGGACTGCCGGCCTGTGAAGATTCGGTATGAGTTAGACGAGGTAGTGAAAGACAGTCCGACGGGGACACGTTTCCACGAGCAGCGCGCTCGGACAACGAAGACCATTAACTAAAACGCACCCTGCTGCCGGGCACGGTGGCTGGTGTGATCATGTTGACGCAGCCACGCGTCCTGAGATCCCAGAAGCGCACGGACTTGTCCTGCGAGCCGCTGACAAACATCGCGCCGCCCCAGTTGTACAAGCTCAACACGTGGCCGCTGTGGCCGCTCAGCGCCTGGAACGGCGTGCCGGTAGCGCAGTCAGTCACGTAGATCTTGCAGTCGCCGGCACCGCCGCTTATCAACAGGCTCGACTTGTTCGATGTATCCTCGAGGAAGCACAAGTCGCGCACCGTACCGTCGTGCATCGTCAACTCCACTTCTTGACCTGGTGAAAGAGTAGTTTTCTTTTTAATCAGTTGCGATTTGATCGAGATGGCGGCGATATAGCTACCTTCGAGGTTCGATGTGTCAGCGTTGAAGCGCATGAGTTTGACGGTTTTGTCGTTGCTGCCGGTGGCCATCAGTTGACCGTCGGGTGTCCCAGGCCAAGCAATATATCGAGCCCTTGTGGTGCTTCGTTCTCTTGAATAGAACTGTCGGCTGATAAGTTTGATGATCCTCTCTGCAAGTCACAAGATTTTCATGTTATCATTGCCGTGAGCTCATCTCAAACGAGCGCTTCGAGAGGTTTACGAAAAGATGACTTTTTGTCAATCTGACTGCGCATGTATCTCTAAATTTACTACTAAAGCATGTAAAATGAGAAGCGATTCACCTTAGAGTGGGAGCCTTATTTTTGGAGCTTGCGCAAAATAAAAGACAAACGTATCAATGATGTTTGCGTGCGATACGCAACGAAATGGCGTTTAAGATATATGTGGCATACAAAGGCTGAAAGCATAGCTGGATTAGCTTGTCGGCAGAGCGGCGCAACCCATCAACCTACAAAGCCTGAGCAATCCCAAAAATGCGATGATATCGGTAAAAACGAAGACTAGTTAACCGCGAAAGAGCAAGATCACCATTCTGCGATAAGTTTTCGTGTTTTTTTCGCGCATGAGCGCGCGCGTATCTAGTTCGCGCGCGTCTCCAACTGTACCTTGCGACCCGCGGATATGGTCGTAAAAAGAATGAACGTTGGCAAAACGCAACACCTCTCACCTAATTCCCATAGGACCTTTCGCCGTTTGCTCGCACTTTTTGTGTCATCCGCGGATGCTTCGTTATTTGTTCTTCTTTCTTTTCTTTTGGCTTTTGGATCTTTCGGCAAGATAGACTAATTTTAGTTTCGGAAACTGACATACGACATTTAGAAAATGATACGTATCGTTTATGCCAGCCGTCACATCGATGGATAGAAAAGTATTAAAATTGCGACAATCAAAGCAGGACTCGTTTAATCTCGCTACATAAAGCTCGCACCAGGTCATTGCATAATTTGCATGACGATAAGCGCATTCATTGAGTTTTCTCGCGCGCTTTCATTATCCGTCGAAGAGCAAAAGCGAACGGCGAGTTTGATCGCAAACTCGCCAAAGCGTCGTAAAGAAAAAAACAAGAACTTTCGTTCTCAAATTGATTAACGATATCGGAGTCGTGTGAAATTCGCGCGCTCGCTCGAATAAAAGTCCTGACGGCAAAAAGAGATCGCCGCCAAACTTTCACCCGCGCGAGATGTATACTTGCACTGATCCTAATTAGCCGTTGTCTTTCCCACCGTGCCTCCAATCTTTTTTTTTCTCTTTTTATAATTATGATCTTGGGAGTTTTCGTTACTTCATTTACACAACTAAGTTGTTGCATCTATTGTCTGCGGAAAGAAGAGGACGACGAAGACTTTCGTTTTCTTAGCGAACGATAATGCCGCAATTTATGCGTGGCGTTCGTTTCGAAGTTCAGTTTAGGAGAATAATTTTCCGAGTTTCCGGATGCACAAATTGACGAGATAAAGAATCGACGAACGGTAAAGTATTTTTTTGGTTTTCCTCGCGGAAAATTAACGAGCTTGAATATTTCAGATGCTTGCGTTTAAGCGCGGATGCGACAGATAATTTTTCGTGACCATCTTGTTTCTAATCGAGAAACCGCTGACAGAAAGGGGCACATTGGAAAAAGAATGAAAAAAAAAAAAAAATCAGGCGCACCGTCGCTCGAGAAAAGTGTCACTTCGAGCGTTCCGCCTTTTCACGAGTACTTCCTTGCATCTTTATCGCGCGCATGTGCGCGCATCGCAACGTTCGCGCTCCGTTTGCTATAGAGGACTTACATACTCGCGAAATTAGGCTGCCGCGGGAAAAATGTTTTCGAATTTAGTTGTTTTTTTTTGTCTGAACGCTTTTTTAAAAGCGTTTTTTTTACGTTTGAGCAATTTTTCCTTGTCTCGCTAGTCGAAGTTGACAACAGAGTGCACGTGAATTAGCAAGGTGCGACGATTTTATTGTTTTGCAATTGATTTTTAACGCAAAGCGACTAACATATTTTAAAATGCCGCAAAATTAACACGTAAACGCACAAAAAGCAAAATTGGAAACTGAATATTCGAAGTATAACGAACAACTGTCGGCTGTAGGTACGTTCGTCAAATTTTGATCGCTTGACCATGTAATGAGCGTGACCTGACAGGCCAATGATAAAGGTCCAGTGATTTGCAAAAGAATAATTCGAAGCAAATGTGTGTCACGAGACTTATCCAAACGTTAAGTTTAATGCTTCGGTCGGCGAGAATCTAAGCGCGTGAATTTTCTCTCGGAGGCGCGACAGCCGCGTGCGATTTCGCTCGCTCGTGTACGCGAAAAATCATAGACCGGAAGATGCTTTTTTCTTCTTGTAAAAGAGATGTTGTGGAATGCTCTGATTGCCGCAAGATTAATGAACAAAAAATCGCAAAGTTATACAGGTGAAGCAGTAGCGCATCGAAAGCGCGACTGATGCTTAATTTTCTAATGCTATTTTTTGCTTCATCCGTTTGTATATAGTCAACGAAACAGAGTCGAGTTTTCGAATAAAATTTGTAAAAGACGTTGACAATGCCTGAAATTACAGCAGATACCCGCTCGTCGTAAGAACGTTCTTGCATCATTTCGTTAAACGGCCCGACGGGCTTGTCGTCATCTATCGCACATATTTCAAAACAATTCCGTTCGAATGAACTCTATGAATTAACGTGTCCTCTGGTTTTTCCGTAACGTGCCATTAAAAATAATAAAAGCAATAACAAGTTTGCGATGCAGTCTTACACGCCAAAGTGCTTGGCATCGGTTTCTCCAAGCGGAATCTTGAGCCGTGCGGCACAGTGATTATGAAAAAGCCCATAGCAGCGCGTGAAGAGCTTCCATTTGCTGAAAAGACAAAGGCGAAAACTCACCGAACATCGTGAAGCTTGGGATAGGCGCATATCCGTAGAGTCTTGGAGTTGGAGCCGACGGCGTATAGCTTGCCGTGGGGATGGAACTCGGCGCAGCGCACTGCTTGCACGTCCTCGAGGGTCGTGACTGGCACGAAACGCGGCCGACCGGCGCCACCGCCGCCGACGCCGCTGCCATTGCTACCGTCCAAGTCGGCCCGTGGCTCCTGCTGCAACCACCAAACAGATGGCGATTAGGCGCGGAAGCCTCGACGTTGCAGCTTAATTGGAGATCGAGGCGCGGATGGTGATTTGCGAGGCCGGCCGTTATTAAACTCATACGCGCGATAATGCTCGCGAATCCTTGTAGCTGCCGGCAACTTCCGGCGCGAGAGATCGCGGGCGCGGAAAATTGCGAAATTTCACGATGGCGCGCGCGGATGTAACGCCGCGCGCCGGGAAGTCGAGCGCGTTGCGAGGCGCGGACAAAGGAAGCGCGATCGGGATATCGCGGAGCGCGGCGATATCGACGTGATAATTCGGACCCGAGGAGAGCATCTCGCGCCCGCGTACGTCGTGGGATGAGCTTCGCGCCTGCGAATGCGTTGCGTGCGAATCCTGCGCTTCGAGACGTTCCCAGCGGCACAATCGCCTCAAAGACAAACGGGCGATTGATAAGGGAAGAAGGCAATTAACGCCTGCTCGTCCTGGGAGCGCGTCAATCTCCAAGCGGCAAAAGTTGGCGTAGGCGCGCAAAGGTAGAAAACGGACGAGGCAAGAGAGGACCGAGGGGTCTGCCAGCCGCGCCGATCATAACAGCACTCCTTCACGCTTTTACTTTCGCAGCTAGCTCATTAAAATCATCATCGCCGCTCGCTCGCGCGCTGCTCCCTTCATCAGCAAGCCAAATGAGAACTCGAAGGATGAAGGACCTCGTTATGACCGCGAGCCGCTTAATAAATCCATTGGCTTCTTATTGTGCGTTGAGGCTTTTAACGGTAAAAATTGCAATTGCGGTGGAGAGAAAAAAAAACACGCGCTAAAGCTCAATCAACGCAGCGTGTTAACGAGATTTCGGGGGAGATACGACTGCATTATGAAGACGTTGGCTTGCGAGCAGTAGCCAAACGCAAGCAGCTATATCAACCGCAAAGATACATAAATGCATGTGTAATGTATTCGAGGGGGCGAATTTTGGAACGAATTAGGCCGGTTCTTTTTGTATTTGTTTTTTAATTTCTTGAATTTTTAATAGATGAAAGTTGGTTATCATCGGTGCGATCGACGCTCAACCCGGAAGCGCGCGCAGCTACGTCCTTGTCGCATTTTTAATTATTCCACTTTCTCCGTGGGCAACTGGAATGGATTTTCCTTATATTCGAGCGACGGTCGACGACCAGGCACTCAAATTTCACAAAACGAGCCAATGAAACGAGAGATATCGCGGCGGCGTGGAAAAACGTTAAATCAAACAAAAGACCTCGCGCAGCTGTGCGCCCCGATACAAAGTTGCAGTCTAATGGTTCGAGTGCTCGATCTCGGTTCAGGTCAACTTTCGAAAACAGGTGTTTGGCGTAGGGCACCTCGGGTGATGGATTGCAACGCAGTTGCCATTCGCGCCGCGGAGTCACTCGGTCATCTGTGCGCGGGCGAACGGCATTTCGTCGTTAAAGCGTTGCGCTTCGAAAAGCGAGCGCCGACAATACTTTATTGGGACAGCCAGTGATGCAAAGGATCACTAGGACGCCAGTGCGCTCGTAAGTCACACTTTGCGCTCATTATTGCCAAAGCGTACATCGCGTAACCGATCGCACAATTTTCTCCCCCCCCCCCCTCTCTTCCTCTATAATTCAACGCATTGTGGACTAGAAAATCACTGTGTTCTGCAACGCAAACACACGAAATTGTCTAGTTTGTTCGATATTTATGAACACTTCCCGACTTAACTTTTTCAAAAGCGAGGTGGTGTAAGCAACAGTCTAGCAACACTGCGAGCAGTCAATATTTGCGAAAAAAAGAAATTATCCATCACTTATGAAATGTACTTTCGACACGAGAGACTTCCAGCATAACAATGTACAATTTTTTCTCTTCTCTAAACAATCGTTGACTTTTTCCTCGCGTGGCATTTACTGTTCCAAACGCATTTTCCATTATGCCCCGGCAACAAAAGAACGAAGCGCGATCGAATGTGAAAGCTTTAATCGAGAACAATAATTTCATAAAGTGTAGTCGGCGAGTGAGAACCAGGTCGAAGTTATGTACTTTCGATACTTGCAGCGTTAAGAGAAGATTGCTCGTCGATTTTCTTCCGGACCACTTTAATCTTTTGATCATTATTGGAAGCCACGTCTCGTCAACCATATGCCGAAGACAAGATGAGTTTTTGCTGGGACTAATCGAATTTATTGTTGCGATATCATTATCGAATGACTTGAACGTTGATTTTACAAGGGAGATGAATTTAATTGGTATTTTTATGCTTTTTTATAGTAAGAGATGAAGCAAGCGATTTTTATTTTCTACGAATGTTTCTTTTAAAGCGACTTTTTATAATCTTTCCGCGAACAATAATAAAGGGCTTCATTATTTCATGATTTTCATTTCTTTCAGTCTAATAGAAAATCAGACGTTTCGATTGCTTGCAATTATTTTATACCCTAAGTTCTAAGAATTCACCGTATATTTCGATTGTTCACTCTATTGACTGCGTTTCCAAAGCTATAATTTTTCGCCAAACTTGCATTATAATTTCGAATTTCCTTACATTACAATACACAATTTTACGCAAATACGTAACATCAAATCGCTGATGACGCGACGAATAAGGAAGCATATTCCTATATACGCAACTTTACATATCACGCAATAATCAGAACAGTTACTTAACAACGTACACATCGTCGACGACAGGCGCTTCACCTCTTTCGCATGTAATTTTACATCGCAGAATTATCATGACAGCTGCAAAAATTAAATTATGCACGCGTAGCTCGTCTATATTACAAGCTACTTAATTAATTAATAAAAGGGAAAAAATAATATCGACCGCGTGTTCGAGGTGGCACCTAAGCCATTCGGAAAAAACATGATAAATATTCCTTCAATCGGATCGAAAAATCAATCGTCGTTTGATTCCTTTCCACCGATGGAAAGAAAAAAAAAAGACAGAGATAACCATTGATTTCTGAATCCAACAATTTTTCCGTGGGCTTATCGATCTGTTACGATAATTCGAATAATTTTAAATTTTCGCTTTCAAACTCCCTGAATATATACAGCCTGATTGTGACACGTATCTTCGTCCATTGTAAATACTATTATAATTAAAATCTAATTATTAGCTGAATAATTCATTCATTAACGGACGCTACTTTCGAAAGTTCCATGCAATAAAACATCATAATTAAAAACCGGTTGACATGTACATCGGACACACTTATTCGTTTTCGCTCTTTCGAGCGCGTTTGTAGAATTCGAGAAATTGTTTTCGCGGATAGCGAAACCTCTTATCGCCGGGCAATCGTGCACGGAGACAGAGAAGGAAAAAAAATGCAAATTAAAGACACCGTTAAAAGCGAGGTAATAAAGCACTTTCTTTCGTGGCGCAGTGGTTTGATATTAAAAAAAAAAAAGAAAAAAAAAAGAATGCGCCGACTAATTACACGTGTACTTTCACTTTTTAATCTGGAACCTACCCCTCCCCCTCCCCTCCGCTAATCAGTACAGAGACGACACAGCGACGATCTTTCAACTGCGACACTTGTTTCGTTTGCCAACGGGCTTTGAGTTATAATTGGCCGAAACGCCCGGCCTGCCTTTCGTAAGCTTATAAACGCGTTGGCCAATGTTTGCCTTCCGCACGTTTCTCTTCGCCATAACGACCGTCTGCTATTTATCGTTCCGTAACTTATCAGTGATGCTGAAAATGATGATTGGGGTACAATGGTGAAGACACCGTTGTTTGCAAACCTACTTCCAATTTTGGCTCATTTTTCAGCGCATGCCGCTTAAAAAGAAATGTCGTCGACTACTTGCTTTCCACGCTGCAAGCTTGCAAAAGCCAACCATTTGCGTTTGCGATTTGTCGTTTGTTTTCGTGTTGCGAAGAACAAAGGGAAGAGAAAAAGCACACACAAACCATGTAACTCCCTCGTCGTCTGCCAGGCTTCTCGGCCGGTCGACCAGTCTTACTCTGCCTGGTGCTACTCTCAAAGCTGCGTCCATTCTCATCGACGTCGACCTCGAGTAAATTCTCCATGGACCTCCGTCCATTCATACCCTTGCCGGGCCCACTGCTCTTCGGACTCGTCCTCACCCGATTTCCATTCATGTCGTTGTATTCCTCCCACTCGCTAACCTCGCTCCTGACGTCTTCCAACGATCTCGTTCGACCAACGGCACAAGTGCACGGCGGCACCGAGTGTCTGCCGGCCGATCCCGAGCTCTTGGTGCTCCGATTGCGCGACGGCCGATGGTGATGCTGCCGCGCAGGCTGATCTATCATCAGCATCCTCGGCGACACAGCCGGCATCTGCATCGGCGCCGGATTCCTGTACAACGGCGCCAGGTAATAGTAATCCCCGGCTAGCTTGTTCGAGCTCGGCCTCGTCGGTACGTAGTTGTAATCGTGATGACTGGCCAGCGGACTGACCCACTGCGTTATCGGGTCCATTGGCATCGGCCGATAACAGAATCCGCGCGTCGACGAGGGGTTTCGGTAGATCGACGGCCATGGCCGATGATGATGATACTTGAGCTCGGCGCCGTAACGCGGATCCAGGATGCGTATGTCGCCCATCGCTCAGCCTTCCGAGGACTCGCGCATCGGGGGCGGATTGTCGTTTGCCACGCTTCCCGTCGACCGATCGCACGGCCTTTGGCGCGCGCCCCGAGATCAATCCAATTTTTTCACTCCCGACAACGCGGACTTTCGTCAGCGTCGCAGACTGCTTCGGTTCTCTTCTCTCCGCGATCGCCGTTGTTATATTTTAATGGCCCTTGATTCGACAAAAAGCACTGTGTCGCTCACTGCCGCCGGACACCAGAAAGCACTGTCTTTCCCCTCCGAGATAATCGGCTTCGGTCTTGTTTCCACTCCGACAGTCGACCGTTCGCTCCGCGAATAATAAACAAAAGTGCGTGCTCGGGTGCCGGGAGATACCGTGAATCGCGCGCGAGCGGCGTAACTCGACTGCGCTACGGAGACTAGGCGCTTGACGCGCGGGAG